ATAATGGATGGATGGAAATAGAACTCAAGGATAAAAGATGTCAGTAAATTTGAAGGTAGTGATGAAGTGCCTTATTGCCATTTTATCTAAGAGCAGCTTAGAAACATAGTGGTTCTCCTGAGGAAGTTAGACACAGTAGACTATTTATCCACTAATACAAATAAAGCTACTTGTAAAACACACACACAAAAACAGCAACAGCGCAAAAGTTATCCATTCAATCTACTATAATATAATGATAGATAATATACAAGCGTCACAAAACATGAAAGAATAGTTCAGCTTCAAAGTATTTATTCGCTTCTTCGGTGCGATTTGACAGCTAGTAAGCTTAGCTTAGCATGAAAACTGCTGTAGTAGCTCTGTTTGACAAAAACTACCAACTTACGGAGCCTGGCTGGTGACATCGATAAGAAATAAAAAATAACTCGTTCCCACGCATTAGTAAATCGTGGCCACGAGTTATTAATGCGTGGGAACGACATAGTTAAATTGTGGCCTGGCATTACTAACATGAAGAAACAAGAGAAGTTGTGGAGCAAATTTCACAGTGCGGTCATACCAGCTGTCGATTAAGATAACAGGCGGACTTGCATGAAACATGGAGTATTTTGCTTTGATTTGATTTTATTTTAACCTTGGAATGAACTACACCGATATCCTGCGATCTCTTGCGATGAAACACCATGTGATAATTTTGTCGTTCTCACGCATTAATAACTCGTGGCCACGATTTACTGATGCGTGGGAACGAGTTATTTTTTATTTCTTATCGATGTCACCAGACGGGCTCCATACCAACTTCTAATTTGTTACTTTGTGATTTTTCCTCTTTGACTGCCTGGCAACAAGTTTTTGCTGCCTTTGGACAATGGCAGGCTAGCTGTCTCCAGTCTTTATGCTATGCTAAGGTGAGCAGCTTTAGCGTCATATTTACCCATGAGCGTTTTTAAACCACAGTGCGGATGCTCTGTCAGTCACCGTCTTGACAGAGCTCGACTCCTCCTAACTCCTGATCCAATGAGCTAAGAGATGGAGGGCTTCTAGGGCTGAGGCAGCCATGAAAACATGTCTAGGCCATGGACTTGGTCTTACGCAAGCACCCACCTGTCATTAGAAGCAGCCACACCCTTAATTATGCATAACTTTAAGTCTTAATGCAATTTAAACAGGTGAGCTGTATAAAGATTCACCCCTTATGCACTTATCACAAATTAGAAAATAGACTATAGAGACCAAAACAGCTTCTTGTAGCAGGCTGTGGACGTGTTTATTTCTCCTGTAAAGCAGGAAGTTTTAACATGGCGATGCTCTGGGGACTGACTCACTTTGGCAGCCAGCCTCAACAAGCCGTTGGAGGAATTTTAGTCTTTGGCGTAATCTTTCTGCCCTGGAAGTTGCAGCTTCATTTTACCACTCAGACATGGACGTGGTATATCTTATTTGTCTAACTCTCAACAAGAAGGTGCGCCTTCCAAAACATCAAACCATTACATTTAACTATTAATGGTATAATTGCCACTTACAGTCACTGTTGGTAATGTTTCAGGTGTATGACGGCCATGAAAAATAACTATCCATCTACATTTTTATATGTGGTACTGATTAGTCGTTAATTCCATACTTATTTTGTTACCGAAGTCACCGTCTTATAAGCAACTTCAAATTTTGTTTACAACTAAAAAACACCAACTTTAGCATTCAGTTGGATCCTCCAAAAGGATTTTTACTAGATTTCCAATTAAGGTTGCGATGGACAGCATGACTTGCAGTGTTCGCTTTAAAACATGTTTTAAATCGGGTCAATCCCAACTAATCTGACTAACCCCCCTCAGTCATTTCCTGCTGTGTTGCACAAAAGGGAGGGAGAAACCTTGTGCTATACCCTACTGTGCATCCAGATACTGTTATTTCTAGCTTTTATTTACACAGGCCTTTTGATAGGTTCTGTTGAACTTAATTGGACATGTAATGAACACTTCTAAAAATGGAGATTTGGAGTAAAAATAGTAATAAAAACGGGGTACACATTGTTGCACAGAATTTATTTGATAATATTCAACAGGGCATGGACTGCTGTAATTTAAGTGAAACCTTTGCTTTTCTGGTAAAAGTTGTACAATATTTTTAGGTGTTCATCCAGGGAAAAACAGGTCAAACTCACAAGCCCAGCCATAATTACCCATTAAAATATGCAATATGGTGTTACTGTACAGAGCAGTATTTGTATACAGTGAACAATTCATGATTACAATGAAGACAGATATGGAAAATTCAGGTATTTATACTATACATTTACTAATTTGAGGGATTTAAATGTACCAAGATGTAACAGATAATCATAATCATTACTGTATGTTCAATAAAAATGAATAAAATTACATCTGAACAAGACTGATTTCCCAGCCAAACTTGCGTAACTGGACTGTTAAGCAAGGCAAAGACATCAGAGGTTTGTGTACCAGAAAACTTATACCAGTCAGAGCCTAGACTTTCCCTTTTGTAAATTTAGACAAATTTTTAAAAAAAAACAACTAAGTCAATTTGAAGCCATTGCCATTATCTCCTCAAAGTCCTTTAATTTTTACCTTGTTATGAAACGTGGGGAAAGATGGTTTGTTTACTGGTTTGACTGCAACATTCAGACATCCATGCCCTCGATCTTGGCTACTACCCATGAGTGTTTCTCTGACATTTTCGCTGCAACTGCCTGCTTGCTCCAGTCACTGCGATCGTTTATCTGCAAATCATGTTTGATACCTGTTGAAGACAGAAGAGGAAAAACCATTCAGTACAAAGTCCAATAAACATGCACTAAATCTTCTGAAGATAGACATGAACATTTTCGTGAAAAAAAACAAAAATCTACTAAAAAAAAACAAAACAAAAAACCTTCAAGTATGTGATGATGAAAAAAAATGATTCAGGAGAAAGACGTACCCTTCAAAGCCATCTTCAGATTCCCTTTCGAGCTGGCGTATAGCATTTTCTTTTTGATGTGTGCACCATCGCTGGTCCTAACATAGAGAGAAATCATTAAAACATGTCCAACACTGAAACTGCTTACTGTAACATTTTTCCATATATAAAAAGACAAGAAAATGTTTAGAATATCACTGATTTGTAAATACATTTTGCCAGGATTGTACTGATAGCCTCTCTGCTGTCTGAGGAGTTAAATGTAGGAGTAGTTATGGTTCAGTTTTAATACAAGGACCTACCACATCAACAAGACCAGGTCCTCTTTGTGAACTCCGTCCTTGGTTTCAAAGCTGCAGTCATACAGTGCGTAGAAGCACTCCATTTTGTCCATCTGCTCGGTGAGGATGGTGAAGCCAGGCTTGGCTTCTAAGTCTTGATGAGTATAAGTGTCACCCACAACAATTTCTTTGCTATCTTTGATGAGGAGTATTGCCACTTTTACTCTGCTGTTGAGATCGTCACCAGCTTTCACCACTTTCATGGCTTCGTACAGGTTTTTCACGTCATCGGTGATTATTACTCCGGATGCCTGGTGAGAAAGCATACATCACATATCTACATTTAGTACAAAAGAACAAAACAACATGAGACAAACCTGTTTATTGAGACGCCTGACTGCTCGTATTACTAATCATGGGGCTTTATTAAGCTTAATACTAAGTCTGCTCTGTCAGTTCAGTGAACGCTTTCCTGCAAAATGTAAAAATGGCAAGTCTCCCACAGTATGAGCACTTCAATAAGATTTGGATCTATTCTAGCAGATGATCTAGTAATTTGTAATTTGAGATTAAAAGCAGAACTAAAAAGATGAAGAAATGGGAAGCTCCTCAAGTAAAACGTTGACACTGTTTAGGCAACCAAATGTGCAAATATTACACCAACTCCTCAGCAGCAACATGCCGTGGGCGTTGCTTCCCCATGAATTTTCAAGGCCTTGCTTCTGTCACATTCCAGTCATTGTGGAGCAAGCTAGCACAAGAAAGACAGCCCCAAGGCATTCTCTGTGAACAAGTCTGAAGCACGAACTAAACTCCCACCATTTTGGAGGCAAAAACCACACCTTAAACAAAACCTTTCACTGGCACCAAACCACCTTTTCATTCAGGAATCCTTTTTTTTTCTTAATGTAACATCAAATTAAAGATTTACACTCTGCACATCCTGGCAACAAGGATTCACAGAATTTACACTTTTGTTCCCCATCTTTTTAATTTTTTTTTGACATTTATTGTTGCAATGAGGAAATGACGCTGAATATGTTCCATGGACATGCATGGAACATGTTATCTGACTCAGTGCACATCAATCCAGCTGAAGTCTTTGTGAAAGCTACTCACCATTTTGCTTGTGGTGTGTGCAGGAAACAGGCAGCAGTGAAAAATGGCAGCAGTAGTCCCAAAGCTGTGAGATTATATGGACGGAGAGCAGGTTGAGTCACGGAGGAGGAGCTGTGGTAAATGAGCACACCTCTAAAAGTATGCCCGCCCCTCTCTTGCCAGGTGTGACACAGTTTCATATGCAGCCTCTAGGTTTACATTTAATCCTAATACTTTTTAAGGCCTAAATCACAAGTTATACATCGAATCCATCGCCTGACACAGTCCAAACATTTTTGTTGCTCTTTCCATCCACTTGATTGGGGAGCGGCAGAGATTTTCCTTTTAGTTGAAAGTCCAGGTGTTGTAGGTGGCGGTGTCAAAGAATACCCTTATATGGAGAACAAACCTGTTCACAATTTTCCCTCATCTGCGGCTGAGGTGCACTCCACTGGCCATATAAGGTAAGAGGTAGGTTGGGTGCCCATAGATGTGTAAAGGATTTAATTTTTCTACCTGGTGAGAGTAGGATGTCGCATCACCGTCACAAATGAGAAAGAACCCATCGATTGATTACACAAACACATTTAGACATATATGGAATCTGACTGATCCCAAGATATGAAGTGATTATTTTAGAGTTGTCAGTTTCGTTTCTAATTTGTTTTTCTCCAGTCATGTTCTGACTGACTGGTAAGTTTGTATAGGTCACAAATAGCCTTTAAAATTGAATTCCGTATAAGGCCCGTTTTTCTCACTGTTTCTGAGGACCAAAGTCACATGTAATATTAATTGTAGCTGCAGGAAAACTGCACTGATTCAAAGAGCAAATAGACAAGGAGCCAGACAACAAGTAAAATCCTTTAAAATAGGGCCTTTAGAATATTAAAACTAGAATGTTTCTGCAAACAATTTGGTGACAGGAGGGGAACGTTGCCCCCCGCCCGCCACACCCACACCTGTCTCAAGTACATTTACTCACTGATCAAGTTTGAGATTTTGTTCTGTATTGTTTCCTCAAAATTACTTCTTTCAGGTGTATCGGATGAAAATTTCCAAAATACACATTTACATATTTATTTCTCTAATCTTATTTGACATGTATGCAGATTTAATGAGATATTATTATGCATTTGCTCATTTCAACATAGCAGTTCTCAAAACTAGTAATAACTAAACATATTTATCTAAATGGAAGTAATCAGCTAGGGAATTTTAATGGCTATGAGTTAAAAACTGTGAAAAGTCGTTTCCACTAAAAAAAAAAAAAAAACATGGAATTTTACAATACATTCCTTAGAAGGCCATTTTCTTAAAACTACTTTTTTCCTCTCGCAGAAATCTTCACTTCAGTAGCATTAACATACACCAAATCTCCCAGTTTTAGATTTGTTTATAACTTGAGGATTTTTATAGAGGGGTTTGTTTACATATCAGTCAGAGCCTGAATTAGAGAAGATTTTATTCCTAAAAAATATGGCAAACATGAATTTTATTTGGGTCCTGACAGAATTTTCTGATTTATAGAGTGGCACAAAGTGATATTCAAAATCCCCTTTATAAAATGTCATCCAATGGAACCAGAATTTTGAAACTACCTTTATACAGTGATCAGACCTCTGTTCTTGTAGAAAAAGCAAATTAGTGCATATTTTGATGGAGTGCATATTTAAACATACATTTTCAGAGAACTTGTTTAAAAAAAAAAAAAAAAAAAAGTCCTAGCATAAGTAATCATTTGGGAAATTTTCATGGTAACTTGTATTATTTAAAAATGTTACCTGTAGTGTCTTACTTTAAGTACCGCGATTAAATACTTTCAAGGTACTTGTACTTCACTGTTTTATATTTCTGCTGCTTCATACCTCTGCTCAGCTACATTTCAGAGACAGATGTTACACTTTTTTCATAATGTAACTTTAGTTTTTAGTTTGCTTTTTCGTAATAATTAAACAAAGTAGAACCAACAAATAAATTAGGATATATATTATAATTATGGGTTAAGATAAGAATCAGGTGATTCCTCTGGAAAATTTACGAGCTACACAGCAAAAATAAAGTCATTAAAATTAGCCCCACCTACACCAGCTATGGCATTAAAGTGATGCACACGTTGATATATTACTCATTTAATCCAATATTATATTATTTAGTATTCTAAAATGGAACCCATGAGGAATACTTGCTCCTTTTTGTATTTTTTGTGAATAAAATTTGAAAAATGTGACTGTTGTTTGTAGTATTTCTACACTTTGGTCTTTTCTTTCTGAAAAATTAACCAAAATATGGAGCAGAACCCCAATTATAATCATTCACTGTGGAGAAGTCCTGATGATGCCTCACAGTCCTGTTCCAACTATGTCAGTGTAAGACAACATCATTTAAAATAGATTTTGTTTTCTTAATTCCTTGTGTTTTTATTTAGTACTCCTGTAGAATTACAGAAAGAATACATGTGAGAAGACACATGTAAATGTGCATCTAATATATTTAATATTTCTTAAAATAGTTCATACTTTTACCGGCTGACAGCTTCTCAAAGTATTAGTAAGGATCTAAGAACAAATATATGTTCTTCAAGTGATTTAGATGATGCACTTGGATCCTTTTTTCCCCTTTTTCCTTTTCAGCTGATAATCAAAGCCTTGTACCTCAGTGAGTATTTTTAAATCTTGATGCTCTGCTTCAGCATGACAGTGGCTTTGCTTCCGCTCTGCTGATTCATGGCTTACAGTGAGTCAGAGTCCCACAGCTCCACCTCCAGTTCTCTTTCATTAGGCAGGCTGCCAAATGTAGGAACACGTCACAGTTTCACTGCAAACACTTCTACTGTGATCATTAGAATATGTGACTTGTACAATATAACTAAAACTTCATTCATAAAGGACACACAGTTGACAGTCTGTAGCAAAAGTATGATAAAGTTAGCCACCGAAAGCTTTCAGAAACATGCCGGAGGGCTATTTTTTTATGGTTATCGTCACAGCTGTGGCAAGGCCTGAGTGCCAGAGCTAATGGCAGCCAGGGGCAACTTTTAAAGGAGTAAAAGGGGAAATACAACCCTGAACCACATAGGGCAGGAAATGGCTGCTGCATAACTCTCTGTGAGTTGAAAACTGCATGCTGCTGCAAGCACTTTGGGAATTTGGCCACAACCCAGTCAGTGATGTCAGAACAGCCAAAACCCAAATCTATGAGAACTGTGACATCTGCTGGCAAGTTACAGGCACTGAACTGCTCATAAGTGTTTGGATAATGTTCCATGTGGTAAGTGGAAATACCAAATACCAGGGCTGGTAATATGAAGTTGCTCTGTGTTAGACTTGTGCATCATGAACAAGAAATCATATCGCACCTTACTTTGGAGGCCTGCAATAGCTCAGCTAAAACTTGGGGGGTCATTCTGAACCTTGTTTTACAACATGTATGAATGTGCACTCCACACACACCTAACTAAAGTTGCAATTTTCCTTTAAGCACCTAATTCTATGCATTTGAATTGTATCGCTCAGAGTATGATCATTCCTATGGCCCTTTCTTAGAAGTTGTGTGTCCAAACCATCAGGAGAGTTGAGTACTGTGAACCTGTAGATGTTATGCTTCAGACAGATTTGGGTTATTCGGTAAAAAGTAACTTTACACTTGTATAGACAAAGACCACTGTAGGGGTGATCCCAGTTCAAGTTTCAAGTCTCTTCAGATGTGTTGAACTTCTCTTAGAGGGTGTAGTCTGAACTTTTCTCAGTGGGCCACATTCAGTTGAAGATGATGTCAGGCCTAAAAAACACAGATTCAGACTCCCTGGGTTTCATATATAACAAACATTAGCAATCCTGGGGCTCTCTGTGAATTCCTCCAATTTTATTACTTTTCATTGTGTCAGAGTGGTTTTACAGTGTTTGAGTTGGTCAGCTCAAGCTGCAGCAAGTTGCAGGAAGGTGGGTGAAGACAACGGCGGGGACTTATTATATCCTCACATTCTGAAGGATCCAACAATGTAGAATTACATCGAAGCCATTTTAGGGCAGGAAGGGGTTATTCTCATGAGGGAAAAAAAACTTTAATTGTACAACTCAGAACAATAGTTTTAGTTAAAAGGCACTGCTTGTCTTTGGTTGACGACAATTTGCTTTTGCAAGATAAATGAAGGAGATGCTACAAGCATTTTCTTTGATCACAGCTTGCATCAGTTAGCGGCAGTGAAGTTGCAAAATGTATACATTATAAAAGCAGCTCAGCATTTTCTGAAAATGAGAAGACTACCACTTGTGGTTGGTTAGTTTAGGATAAAGTTTGGAATCAGGGACAATCGGGTCCAAACATTAAACAATCTGAAAGCTCAACAAGTAACATCCTCTTTGTTTTATTAAAAAGAAACCAAAAGTTGTGGTTTTATGGTGGCCAATGTGAGTATCTGTTAGGCAGGTTAATCTTGAACACTACAGCTAGTTTTCCCTCCAAGTTTCACATTTTGAAACTAATTAACTACTTGCAGTGAAATTAAACATATTGATCATTTATTTATTTATTTATTTAATTAAATATTTCATTAAGCCTATTTCCCAGAATGTCAAACTCCTTTTAGGTCGGTACTTGAAAGAACAGAGAGGGCAAAGAGACACACATACTGTATATACTGTATAAAATGTATATCTTTCTCACTGAAAACAGAACAAACACATTCTTATTTGTGGTTTTATTATGTTCACAGTCAATCAAACCATAAGAAATTATTTCCCCTCATAATTACTATTCTTTGATTAAGTTGTATACAAGATACAATTCATGATTGAATAAAACCAACAAGCAAATGAATGTTCAAATATGATGACTCTTCACTTCAACACAAGTCTGGATTCTTCAGCCGCCAGAGCTTGTTTACACCATCGACACATTGAGCCACTGTGGATGAAACACAGAACACAAGTTACTCTGTGGTCCATAATCCATCCATCCATCCATCCATCCATCCATCTTTTTGTATATCATCATAAATAGGCAGTCACCTGCTTAAAGTCCAATTTTATTTTCCCAGACCCATCCTCGTCCAGGGCCTTGAAGGTTTCTGTTGTAAATTGGAGTAAACATCAAAACTTTACATATTGTCTGCATTACAGCGAGATTAAAATGAGGTCATAAGGACAAAAACTTACTGAAAAGTGACTCAAGGCGGATCAGGCAGCACACAAAGTTGTCAAAGTCAATGGTGAGGTCCGGCTCACTGTAGCGGGCCACAATGATCTGATGCAGCGGGTTGTTGAGTGAGAAACCTGCCAAAAATGCAACAAGATGTACTGAGAAAAGGTGACACAACTGATTGTTACAGCTGAACCTCTGTTTGCTCAAATCTCAGCAGTCTCCCCTTCCTTCCTAAGTTTTACTGTAAAGAAATGTAATTTGTGAAATGCACGTCTCACCAGCAGCCTCAACAGCCATCCGCATCTCAGAGGAGCTCATACATCCGCTTTGATCTGCATCTCTCTCTTTGTACAGATCCTAAAGGAGAGACAAATTAGCATCCACTATCAGCAGTCTACTAGCAAGTTTCTTACATGTGGCATGTCAGTGCTAATGCAGACAAATAAGGCACACACCAGGAACTTCTCAATCTTTGTCCACAGGATCCTAAATTCGACAACACCCAGCTTGGCACTTCCATCTTTCTTTGAAATGAATGTCAAGGAAAATTGTAACCTGAAGTACATGATATCATTATTGTGTGTGCCAAATGTACAGCTACAGTAATACATCTGGCTTAAGATTATGACTTAAGAACAGTTAGCCCAACTTGCCAGCACTCCTGAAGTTCATGACTTAACACACTGAATATTGTTCGAATGATTAATACAAAAACAAATAAGAGTCAAAATGACAATTTGGGTTTTTTGAAAGGAATTATGGGGCAAATGATTTCTTGGTTGGTCAGGTGCCTGCTATCTACAGAAATATTCAGATTCATAAACTGCTGTGCAACCGCGATTACAATTTTGTACAGATTAAACAAGCGAGATAGAATGTTTTCATTACTGACCTTCAAGTGCTTTTAGGTTCACGTTTTCTCTTCTTTTTAAACTTTGTTAAAATCCCAGTGCAGAATCTGTCTTCCCCTTTTGGCAGCGGGAGCATTACACAAACACTGTCGATGGTAGACTTTAATCCTTCTGGTTTTTTTTGGAAGCATCAGAAACTTTTCTCTCTAGACGGTTTCTGGATTTTCCGTCGTATGCACCACCATACTCCTAGTTGCTTGGATGGGTACATACTGTGTCTCCCCCAAAATTTAACACTATTCTTTAAAGCAATTTCAGAAGGAATCAAAGCAGATAACCAGTTGTTAAGAGGTTAATGGTTTTGTGGAAGTCTCCCGATACAAGTTAAGATAAGAAGGAAGGATACATCCAGCAGATTGACCATGTTACGGCAAGTTGTCAGGCTGAACCCATCAGTTTTGATGTCATTTCCTGAAAATAAACAGCACACAAGGTTAATTTGTTGTCTGGTGCACATTCCCGTCCATACTGAACTTGCCTGATAAGAGAATAAAGAAAATATTTCTCTTACTCCTAGCTACCACTCTGTTGAGGATTCCCCGCAGCTCGAATGCAGAAATCTCTGCATCCTGAGAAGCACATGACACTTTGTAAGAACAATAATTGGATACCAAAGAGAAACGCATCAAATGTTCAGCTGCCATACATGTCCAGCAAGCTGTCCGAACAGTCTCTGGAATCTGTCGCAGATGTCGTCTTCATCAATATCAACCTACGGATTTTAAAAAAACAAAAAAAAAAAACCTTTAAGTCTTTGGTAGATAATTATGATCAACATTACAACAAGAAAATTAAGTGACAAGATTTTACCTGCTCAACATGGCAGTCAACAGGATCATCAATCTCTCTGAAAGCAGTGAGGAGTCATGGCGATTAATCATCATGAAGGCTGTAACATAACGCTAATGAATGAAACTGCACGTATTTGTAACAGGAACTCACTGGAAATCGGCCGGCTTCTCAGAGAACACCCTCACATAGAAGTCTCCGTTCTTGTTGGGCTCAAAGGTGGAGGGGACGATGAGATATTCTCCAGGGGGAAGATGGAAGCGGCTGCACACCTCTCGCTGGTTGATGAAGGTCTCGGAGCGCGCGGCTGAACAGTTGTACATGAAGAAGTTTTTCTTTAGGTGCACCTGCCTTTTGCCCGAGTACTGAAAAATCACACGCATGAAATACGCTCACATTAGTACGCCTCCACTGTCTTTATTTTGTCATGCAAATATCTTAAAGGGTACTCTGAATGAATTTTAACAAGTGAAATTGTAACAGTTTCTTTGAATACTTATTCTTTCATTATTCCCAGTGGTGTCTCACATACCTCCTCAGGCAGCTAAAGAAATCCAAAACAAAACAAATGTTAGAATACAGTGAAAATGTGGCATATTGAATCTCTACTTGTATTTAAATTGCCATTTCAGAGGCAGCTTCTTACCTCATAGATGGCAAAGCCAATGGTCTCCATGTCCTCCCCTATTTTCCTCATGCGGCGCCTGTTCTTCTGCATCAGCCCAACAATGAAGGTGCAGCCGTCTTCCTCGCCATCATCAGGGTCATCGTCCACCTCATCCAGCTTTATGACAAACTGAGGATTCATCCAGAAGGTGTCTTGGAAGGGAAAGCAAGTGTTAGCAGGGAGCTGTATTTCAGCAGCGAAGCCTGCACATTGGCTTACACAAATAAATGCTGCATACAAATCTGGAGGTGAAACTGGTCATACTTGCATAGTTTCTGCATCCTCCAGCTGACACGCCTCTTCTCCATGTGTCCTCAAATTCTGTCTCTGCCCATTTCTTGTACTCGTCTCCTGTGAGAGCATCTGGGGTGAGGTTGCAGATTTCAAGGCGTGAATATTGACGCAGGAAGTCAGAGAAGGACATCCTGTGGGGGAAAAAAAAATACATGAGGAAAAATAAAAATCAAACAATCACATGCTGTTTTCAGTGCAAAAGAGTCCGTGCCAGGAATCTAGGACTGGAGCACTGTGACATTTTTTGCTTAGAACTCCATCCCTAAATGGTGGTGAATTTGCTGTTTATACCACAATTAATTTAGAAAAAAAATAGAAAGACTACAGTTATTTTCCTTTCTCATTTTTCTGTAGCAAAAAAAATGACAATATGATACATCAGGATTCTTTTTTAAAAAAAAAAAAAAAAGTAAATGCAATGTAGCACGAAGCAATAATATGTGGGCATGAGATATATATAACACCTGTACCTGTAGTAATTATTTCAGGAGCCTTTATTTGATTAAACTACATTGCACAAGTACTGCTTTTATGTGTTTATTAGTGGGATAAAGGCAGCTGTTAACTTGTGTTTTGTGTAAGGGAAGGTGGTTTCGGCAAAAATGTACCAGAACTCTCCGTCCTCAGAGCGGTTGGTCAGCCTTTGGCGGTCATCATCATTCACATATCTCCATTCAGAAGAACTAGAAAAAGAAAAAAAAAAGATCACGGGAAGGATAATTTACAGGATTACACCCAACACGGAATTATACTTCATATATGTAGAGTTTTGCAAAAATAACCAGGCTCACAGTCAGTCAATTATTAGAGCCACAGTGAATGTCACACATGCCTTCACCTACACTTCAGCCACAAAACTTTAAAGCCAGAGTAAGGGCGTTTTTTTACAACAGGATTTACCAGACTTTCCACAGGGTGTGTATGTCTTTATGTGTTACAAACATGACAGAGACATCGTTAATAACCTTCTCCAACCAGAGGACAAGGCGTTTCAATTAGGCTGGATCCTCCTATGAACAACCCAACACAATGGCAGGCAACCTTTTCAGTAAACACACCACTCTTGGCAACCTTCTAAAATAATGCTGGTGGTATTTTTACAACAGATTTGGATCTTCCAGGTTAGCACAAACACCCCCCCAAATATGCTCTTGAAGTCTTTCTGTTTTGGTTGCACCTAAACAACAACAAACAGTAGTTAGTCCAGTTCTGTTTGCATGTAGGACATAGAATAATGGAATGTCTGCAATGTTATATGGCAAATTTTATGTTGTTGGTGCTGATGTTGGAGAGAATGTCTGCTACTCAAAGAGGACATTGAGAGGGCAGAAAAAGCTGCTTGTTGTTTTGAAAGTTTAGTCACAATTTTGAGGTGGCAGCGGATGAAAAATTACTGCTGCGTTGAGAGCGGGAGACACGAATATATTAAATTTCATGACAATCCATTCAACAGTTTTCCAGACAGTCTACTCAAGGCTACAATCCCAGCTGCCAGCTGATGCAAAATCAAGAACGTTATTATGATACATCATCCGGGGACCACGAATGTTCGCACAAAACTTCATTGGGATCCATTCAAAACTAATTAACCAACATTGGTGTAGCTGCAATGATGACTAATTCGAATTTAATGGCAACATGTGGACTGCCCTTAATAACTCACTTGTCACTCCAGGCTCCATTCCACTCCACCTCACCCCACGGGTTCCTAATCCTGATGAGCTGCACCCTGTCTCCTCTGTACTCCACCTTAAACAGAATAAAACGCTCTCAACATTAGCTGCTGCAGCTTCACTTATTCCTCGATGGCCTGTGCAGTTCGTACGTATATACAGCTGATGTGTAACACATCCTCACCTGGTCTGCTCCTGTCACAGAGTAAGCATGGCCCTTCACCAGCTTGCGATGTGTGATGGCTTCTGAGTCGGACGCGCTGGTGATCTGGGGGTGGGGGAGGAAAGTCTTGTGAGGTGAAACTATCACATACCACGTGCAACATGACACTGGAATGAGAAGCTCTAACGAACATCAATGGAGCATCCCAGAAGGGAGCCTCTGCTCAAGGCCTTCTTGATGATATGAAAGAGATGTGGATCCGGCTTGCTCAGGTCATGCCTCTCAGCAATGCCTCCAGTGAAGTCCTCAAAGCCCTCCATGGTGCTTCCCCCAGAAAGAGCCTCGTAGCATCCATTTAGCCTAACGGGTAAAGGATTAATGAGGGAGTAGACAAAAAAAACAAAAAGATACTGGAACAAACAGAAATGTAGGCTTCCATACTTAGCATAGGCCTTCTCCAGCAGCGCGCTCCAAAACTCTGACCCCTCCTCCGAGTGAACAAACAGCAGCTTTCCATCTCTTGTGGGTAATCTATCATCAACCACCACATCCACCCAGTCACCAAACTGCCAGAACTACAAAACAAATAGAAGGCACAAGAAATCTGTTTGTGCCACCGTAGCTCTGCAAACACAAAACAGAAAAAACAGCTTCAAACCAGGCAGCATGTTAAAAGTGTTGCACCTCAAAGTGAAAGATGCCGGCATAGTTCTCCTCAAAGCTTTGATCGTGGGGTACGACGCGAGATAAAATCGGTTTGTTGAGCGTCAAGGAGGCGATGGCTGCCAGGAGCCAGCAGTCACCTGCACACAAGTCAACAATGTTAGAAGATTTCTGTGTAAAGTCTCGTGTAACACCCAGAAAATTTCAGGTTGTCCCAAGTTGTCTTCATGACACATCTCCAAAACATTTACATAAACCTCAACTATGCAGAGTTATGCCTGTTGGTCCCACCTCTCATTACTAGCTGCAAAAACAACTCACCCACATTTGTCTGCATTCTGACTGGGTGTAGACCGAGAAAACTAAAGGAGCTGTTAGATGTTTTGTACGCAATGACAGTTGGTGTCAGTTGGTGTCAGTACACAGGTATTTAGAAGGAATTATGAGATCTAGCTGTCAATTCATTTATGTAAAAGGTACAAAAATACAAGCAAAAGACCAGCGATGAAACTGAGCAAGGAGAGTCAAAATGAAGAGACCTACATCTCTGTTGTTACTGTGTTCTCATCATGGCTGTGACAGTCTAAGAGCATTCAAAATCATTCAGATAATTCATTGCCCAGCAAATGCACTTGAAAGCAAAAGTGATGCATATAAGTCAGCTCAAAATGAATTAAACTATGTATTTGTATGTGTGTGTGTGTGTGTGTGTGTGTGTGTGTGTGTGTGTGTGTCTCTCACCCAGTGCTCCCTGACAAATATCAGTCCTGGTGGCACTTTCAACTATGAATTGTGGATTGGAGCATAATTCCTGAGGGGACAAAAAAGGATTTAAAAACAGCTTTTGTCAAAGTGTAATGCTTGCTCACAGTTTTTATCCACTCTCATTTAGATGATTGTGGTTTGTTGGATATCAGAAATACTCATTTATATATACTGTAGAAAACTCTGCATAAAATGTTGCGGAGTCAAAAAAAGAGAACAAGAATCTGGTATGGAAACATTCAGGAACAAGCTTACATTACCAAACAGCAGCAACTAATAAATATAGGGTGTGGCCTATTGAGTGACCTCTCATGTGGAAATATAAAGCAAAAATAGGACTTCTACAAACCCAAACTCAAAATAAGATAAGATTTTCTTTGGTTCTAGGTTTTAAAAACAGCCCAACAATTGCTAGTTGTTCTCTTCCAGCATGCAAAATAAAGGCAGCCACATGACACCAGCCTGTACTTTCAGCCTGTGCTTCCATTTAACCACTGCAACCCACCGTGGGTCTCATCCAGGTGATGCCCCGAACTTTGTAGGAATTTGGTCCAAGTTCATCGTAGCCCAAGGATGAGGGCAGAGGCTCAAAGCTGTCATCCTGAAACAGATATCCTCCTTCCAGGCAACTCGTCCTCAGCCTCTCATAGTCCTGGTTCAGGAATTTCACAGCCTGAGAGTTGGTTCCAATCCCATTTGATTTGTCTCGGAAGTGCTGAAGCCTACTTGCAACGCCTGACATTTTGAAGGTTCGGAATATGCTGTGTTCGTCTTCAGCTGCGCCTCAGTTTGTGCGTGTGGTTAGACAGGCTCCGTGCCATATATGCAGATCCACACCCTTCTTTGTTCACACCAGACAGCCTGCTTCGTCTCACCTGTTTCCTTCAAGCCTCTGTGTCTCATTTGATTACTGGCCTATGATTGGCCCACATGTAGCTCTCATACACAGTTTTGGAGACACTTGTGTCAGTGGAATGAAATTACAACGTTATTTCTCCCTCATTTTGTTCTTTATCATTGAGCACCACAGACAATATCATTGCATTAACAGTTTTTTAACGGTTTTGTTCTGTGTAAGATTAGAAAAACACACATTTCAGAGGCCATACTTTCTGAGTTTCTTTATTTTCTATCATTTGATAGAAGTTGCAACAGCTAAAATACAAAACACAAACTAACAAGACTATTAAGGTTTTCATTTCATGTAAAAGTTTAAAAGAAGCTACTTAAAACTGAATAATAAATGTGAATGACAGAACATGTGCTCAAAAATATGGAAAAATGTTTCTCCGTTTTTGTTTAGACATTTTAAGCATTTGCAGTATAGTAAGTGCACTTGAATTAATTTTGTTTCGCTGATCAATTGAACTTCTCCTGACACGATGACCTTGCTTGTTTCATCTTCAGACCTAGTTGATCGCCAGGCACAGCCACTGCAAGAGGAAACACAATTATACAACTAACTGTCTAAACTAGGAGTGGCAACACACCAGCAGCTTTTCTTATTTTCTCACACACCTGTTGAATATCAAGCTCAATTTTCCCCGAGTCGCCTCTGTCCAAGGCCTTAAACATTTCTGAAAGAGAGGCAGAAATTATGCAAACATACCGCAGCTCTCTGACATAGATCAATATGACTTATACTGACTTTATGTTGTTGTGCTTGCTGACACTTACTGAAGAGCATTTCCAGTTTAATGAGGCAGCCTACAAAACTGTCAAAGTCTACGGCATACTGACGATCGGCGTATCGGCTGACAATAGCCTGCAGCACTTGGCTGTTGACATGGAAACCTGCAGAAGAAAAACAGCCGTCTCTGATCTTTACATTCTGTTAGCTTTTACGGGTCACTTTCATAGATTTAGTTTGTTCTATCTCTGATCCTGGGGGAGTGTAGTTTCAAAAAGATGTCAGATAATGGATGAGCTATGATACACAGCCTCGCCTGTTCATGTTTTGTTTCTGTGGCAAACTATACCAACAGGAATTGTGCATCCAGGACAGGAGTCTCCTAACCGGATTATCTTGTCTGTCAATAACTGCGTTGACATGTCAACACCATCAGCAGTGCCACCATGTTGTTATTTGTTCCTGCAGGGGTCCAACCATTTAAACTTGGAAATATTAACAACATAAGTGCTATGTTTACAAAGCTGCATTGAAGTGTTTTGCCTTTTTCATAAGCATGTCATAGGCATGCCTGGTTTTCATATGCATCTCATAACACGGCACAAAGTTATGCCAACTATTGTGGCACACTCAATAAAAACATATTTTTAAAACATTTAAAAATGTATTTTAATTTTTTTTAATATAGAAAAAGAAATAAATAATAATACAAATTTTAAAAATATATCTAAAGTTAACTACTGTGGTAATATAACCCAAAATGGGATGTCCAGCATACGGACGTCAGGTCTTAAGGTTAAAGGCGTGTTTCCACTGTGTCTGTTTTCTCAAACTATAGCAAACAAGAGTCTCTGGGAAAGTCTGCTTATGTGTTACTTAGTCTCTTATGAACCAAATTTAATGAGTTGAGTGGACTCCCCTCTGTCTATTCATTCAACTTATCATTTTGAGACAAAAGACTGCAAGTTCTAAGAGTTCTTGTCTGAAAATAAAATAACTGACATGTTAAGTTCAATTGCCAGAAATAAACAAAAATCATATATTTACATTGAGTAAAATCATATATTTACATTGAGTAAAAATTTAATCTGATTCAATTCTTATATGATGTTTTACAGTGTAGAAGCTGTCAGATAATTAAATCCATTTTAATCCATGTGAATGACCACCCTGCCATAACTTACAGCCATTTGATTTATTTTCAAAGCATCTCATGTAAATATTTGGAGGATTCTAGTGCGTGAAACTGAGAGATGATGTTTGTTACCTGCTTCAGTGGCAGCACCTCTCATCTCATGGGAGCTCATGGTGCCAGAGCTGTCTGAGTCATGATTCTTGAAAATCTCCTATATGACCCATTTGTTGTGTTAGCAGATGAAGTCAGGTATTTCAGTATCAATAACACTCATTCAAAACCACATAGATCCCATCTTACCAGGTATTTCTGTATTTTGCTCCAAAGCAAGTGGAATTCTATCAGTCCCAATTTGGAACTTTCATCTTTCTGTGGAATGTTAAGGTTTATCAAGAAGAAGAAGAAGAAAATCCTCCCCATATAAATTAGAACATTAGCAGATCTGATGCACTAATGAACACTGTTCCGAAAGCTGTGACTTGTATGTTTTCATGATTTAAAGAGGATACATCCAGCAGACTGACTATCAGGCGACCCGTCTCAAGGCTGAATCCGTCTGTCTTGATGTCAGACCCTGAAAGAACAATACATAACTGACTTCAGCTCTTAAGTCAGTGAAAATAAAAGAGGCTTAATGTAAACAAATGCGACTTCTGTTGTACTTACTGTGAGACACCACATTGTTCAAAACTTTTACCAGTTCAAAGACCGATACCTCCATGTCCTGTTGGAAAAGTCTTAATTATTACATGGATTTTAATCCCTAATACAGGTTAGAAGCTATTAAATGCTTGATTTACGGTTAGATGTCATATTTTTCAACCTACACTGCCAGCAATCTGCTTGAAGAGGTGCTTGAAATGAGGATCCACATCACTTTCAGACACTTGCTCCTGTGAAAGAAAAGACACACGTAAATGTCAAAGAAAAACATTAGCTCTTTAGATTTGAGATATTTTGATGTCATGAGAATGTTGACATATAGTATATATAAGCAATAAGAATTGAAATTTAATTTACATTTCTTCAATTTAAGGACAAAGGGAGAGAGAAAGGAACTCCTTAAAAGAACAACTATTCATTTCCCAATAATATATAAATGGGTAGCTTATCATCTTGTGGGCTTCCTTACCTCCTCTATTTCAGCATCAATGTCCTCCTCCAGAGGGCTAAAACAAAATACAAACACAGATCTTTAGCACACTCTGTTGTTTTGCATGAAAATGACATGTTCAGTAAGTTGTGCCTATCCCAAATAGTGAGCTGGCTTTGTCCTCCAGGTAGTTGTGAACTCTGTGGTCTGTAGACAGATATATATCACAGATACCTGGTTGCAGCCTGTTTCTCTGAGAACACTCTAAGAACGAAGCTGCCATTCTTGTGTGGCTCGAAGGTTGAGGGAATTATGACGTATTCTCCCGGGGGAAGCTTGAAGCGATCACACACTTCTCGCGTGTTGATGAAAGTGCTGCTCATGGCCACAGCTGTCCGACGCAGCACCACATCAGGGCCGAGGTGAACATTGCTGCGGCCTTTGTACTGAAGATCAACAGGAGAAAAGAGTTTTATTGGAATGTTGGGAAGCTACAGAAATTTACAATGCAATCAAGTGATGCTTGTGATTCTTCTAATGTCTACAATTTTTGAATAATAAAAAAGTGCAGAAAAAGTATAAATACAGACCTCATCTGGAACCTGTTAAAAGGAAACAAAATAATTTTAGAGAATTTTTAATTTATTTCTTTTGAGAAATCAGGGATTTCCAATGAAACATCACATTATTTTTGGACACCTCATATATGGCAAAGCCAATGGTCTCAAGTTCGCGGTCAAGCCTCCTCTTCCGTCGCCCATCCTTTTGCATCAGTCCCACCAGAAAGGTGCACCCATCCTGCCCATCTAGGGGATCATCATCCACGTCCTCCAGACGCACCACAAACTGAGGGTTGGATGAGAATGTGGCTGCAACACACGACAAAGAAGAATCTTATGTATGAAATGTGAAGTAACAAACTTCTTGCTCAGACATGCAGGACTTGTGGTTTCTTTCTTACCCGCGTGATTGCGGCAACCGCCAGCGGTGGAGCCGACCCTCCACATCCCTTCAAACTGGTAATGGTTCCAGTGGCCCACGTCATCGCTCATGAGCGTGTCAGGGGTCAAGTTACAGATCTCCAGCCTGGAGAACTGTCTGATTAAGTCTGAATAGGACATCCTGCAGAGAGGAACCCTCTTTCAGAGCTTGAACAGTTGTTTTGGTGATGGAGGAGGTTACATTTGAAGGGCTTAGTGCCAAGTGGTCAAAACCACATTTAGTAGTTTTAGAGAAAAATGGGGTCAGAATTTTGTGTTGCCAAAAAAAAATCATAGTTGTTGGAAGAGTCATTATGTGCATCCAAAGGTGTTTCAACACTGTCCCGAGATAGAAACAACTATTTTGTGCTGACTCTATTTAAGTTTTAATTTTGCCTTTCCTTTTGCTGAGTGCCAAAGCAGGCCATACCACATTTTCTACTTCTTGAGAAAAAAATTGATTCGAGGTTTGCCTCGCTAAACAGCATTGAAGAGTTTACATCTCGAGGACCTAGAGGTGCCATGGTGCAGAAACAGATGCTTGGTGGTGGTTAATTTTGTTTTTATTTTACCTTACAATACCTACAAGTTGAGTTGTCAATGCGCTGTCCACCATCTTGAATCGCAAACATGTACAGCTACCTGCACCCAATATATTAGTCAGCATTTCCTGTTGCTTGGTCATGTTTGCCACTAAATTGTCATGCCAAAACCATTATGGGCCAAACTTCAAAGTCGCATTGTGACATTACTAGTGGGCTGTTGGTTGGACCACTTTGCCACGAACTAGTAGACCATAAACACTTACCAAAAAAACATAAAACTCAACATTGGATTTTTTGTGGTTTGGCCCACTTTGGCACTGAACCCCTTAATTATCACTTCACATTATAGTATCAACAACATATTTAACATTTTACAAGTACAAAGTTGTAATTTACAGTAAATGAATAGTAAAAGACTACAGATTTACCAGAACTCTCCATCTTCAGCCACATGGTTCAGCTTCGATTTGTCATCCTCACTGACATAGTCCCATTCACTGGATCTATTTTGGGATAAAGAGTTATGTTTTATTGAAAAATCCTGGAATTACCCAATGGCAGCTTATGATATATGCATAGAGCATATAAATATTTACCCATCACTCCAAGGACCCGTCCACTCCACCTGACCCCAGGGGTTCCTGATGCGAACCAGCTGAACTAAACTGCCTCGAAAATGAACCTGGAAGAAAAAGCAACAGTTTGTAATGCATTGTAATTTGCATACACAATCATATTAATTT